GGAGGAGAGTTGATGTTCATACTTCATGGAGAAAACACATAACATAGATGCCTTACTAGGAGAACATTATAAGACATGGAACTGACTGATGGCTGGTGAGGTTGTGTTACACAGCTGCTAGGGTCAGAAAGGTTGAATCCAAACGTGCATGCCCTGGACTTGCAGACTTATGGACTTTTATCATACAGACAGTGATGTCTTCACCATCAGCATGTGAAGTCTATGAGGGTACTTGACCGTGAAGTAACTGTTAAATCCAAAGGCTTGGGAGTAGATTGAAATGAGGAGAGACTTAAGACATAATGTGTTATAGAGATTAATAAAAATTTCTAACCCTGAAAGGCATTTGAAAGTATTTTTCTGAATGGCTTTTATTGTTCTGATGAAGCTACAACTTTCCTTCATGAGCTGGCAAACAGTATTCTATCAACATTCAATCTTCCACTGAGGATCCTCACATCATAGATTAACAAAAACCCATCTTTGCCCATGTGGTACATATTTTTATGAATTGATTTATCTGACACATCCATAGTGCTATGGATTATGGGTAATCTAGCCAGGTCCAGTGAAGTCTGAGCCCCCAAACAGGCTTTCATGACATTTGGACTTAGCCAAGGTGTCAGCTCTAAGAGGAGATGAACAGTAACCTTTTGTCAGAGGATACATGCGCATAGCTGATGGCTCCAACATCTGGTAGCGACAGGCCTCAAATAAGGATGAAATGTTACCTCTGTACTGGCATAACATTGATCTACAAAAGGATCAGACTTTGAACCATGGAACCATGACTTTGCTGGACTTGTCCTTGTCCTATACTTTTGATCTGGCAAATGGAGTGTGGCCATATGTTATAATATGCCTGTTTCTGTACTTACCTGCACACAGTCATGTCAGGAATGTTTTCAGGGCCATTTGGTTACTTTCAAAAAGAATGCAGTTCTTTAGGACTCACAGAGCCATGTGGACACTGTTATTCACAGGTTGTCTGTTAAAGTGAAAAAGTGCTGGAGATTAATGGCCATATCACCCAGTGAGGCAGTTCTGGGGGACAGGAGAGCAACTGGGCAGCCAAGAGGCATCAATCAAGAGGCTAACTTCACACAGGGTGTAAGAAGGTTTAAGATCCGTCATCACGCAGCTTTTCACCCTATTCTAAAAGATGTGTAAAAACAAAATGAAAGATACGTGCAATTAAAAAAATTAAACGAAAAGTACTTCTTACCTTTAAGAAGGAGGACGAACTCCAGGCAATACAGGTATTTACGCAGCCCCATTTATGAAACAGTCTCTTGTCTTATTTAGTTTTCTGTTTACGAAGCGGACTCCCCTGAGCTGGTGGCAATGAAGTATGCCGGCGTCCACCACACACGCAAACGCTTTTTCAGCTCTTTCTTTCCCACAGAGATGCGTGAAATGCGGTGAAAAGGTACTGCTGTGGCATGTGTGCTGTGCGTGTGTGAGGCTCACTTCCAGACTGGTCACTTTATAAAAGCAGATCCGGGTGCTAAATACAGCTACAATAAAAATAAATAAACCTACTGGACACGAGAATTCATGTCTGTGTCCACGTGTTGCGCCTCTTGAGTGACCAACCGGAAAAACTTATCTTGTAGCGCATGAAAAGGTTTCGAGCATAAAGGAAAAACTTCAGTGATACCTCAGTGACCCATGTTTCGGGCGTGAAAATCGCCGCACCTGTCCCATCCAACAAGAGGCCGCAGTTCAGTCTTTAAACCATTACTAATGTGCACCACCTTGGCACACAGGCGGGAGCGCGCTTTACCCCGCCGGACTCTGGAGCGCGTCTTTGAAGATCAAACTCTCCTGTGGACGGTACCTCCGCTCATCGAGCCCAATGTCTGAGGCAACGTTTTGTGTCCGGATCCTTTCATAACTTGTTAAACACGATCCTCCCTACCGATTTCCTAAGATTAACAACAGAATGGCCGTTTCCCGTGAGTTTCTGTAGGAGTTAATATGCGCCTCTAGTAACGGATTTCTCTCACGTTGAAATGAAAGAGCGCATTTATCCACAGTGTTTCCCTCCCTCCATCCAGCAGACTGGTTCACATTGACAAACCTCAAACCCACGTCTCTCTCCCTCTCCTTCTCTTTCTTTCTTAAACACACCAAAAATATCTCTCTCCAACTCTTTCAGGTTGTCCACTTCACTCTAAGCTGCCCTTCACAAATAACATTTTCATCTTTGTGGAATATTACTGAGGCTTTTGGGATCGTTTTCTAAGACATTTGGGGTTTGTAGGCAGCAATGATTGTTAATAAAATCATTAATAAGATCAACTTTTGGGAGGCCAGGCTGTGTAAAATGGTGTTTCTCACTTTCTAATAATTCAATATTAGAGGTTAGTCAGTCACTTGCAGTTATAAATATGAATAAATAATGAATTTTCAAAAAAAAATCCATCAAAGTCCGATTTCAGTTCAGTTGCCCTGCTGCCCTTTTCTAGGAGGTTAAGAAAATATAACGATGGAAGAGGATTTGCCACAAACTGTTGACATTCTCCATCTTAACCCCATCCTCAAATTAGCATTAATCCATTGATTTTTATTTTTAAATTTAGTTACACGGACCACCACCTAAAACAATTTTATCATCTGAAAGTGGAACGTTCTGTGTACTGCTGCCATGACAAAGTAAATACCATTCTGTTCTATGCAAACATTCACTGTGCTACATGATCTACACATTTCACTGATTTTGCATGTCTACATCTTAAACTTCTTTCTTTACCATGGACATTCACTTCCAGGTAATACTCAGCCCAGTGTTTGGGATTATGCATGTTTTAGCTCAGGATTAGAGCTATTGTATTTTGTGGGTTTCAGGTTTCCCAAGGTGATGGAGAAAGGTCACATAGGCAGATGAACGGAAATCACGTTTTTTGCAGCCAAATATAACATGTTTTTACTGTTTATTATTATTTTTATGGTTTTGTGGATATATTAAGGAATTAGAAATTAGTGAAACGGGATAGGGAATAAGGCAATTATTAGGGAACAGCCCCTTCATACAGTCCATATTCTTTAAAGCTCTTGGGCGCCACCCTCGGGCCTCTACTGGTATTCCTCCACAATTATTTCAATTACATTTGTTAAGACCCCTGTCTTACTATATGTGTATTTGTTGAACTTACATTTTACATCATTATAGCCTGTAGTCGCAACAGTTTTAGTAGTTTTAAATCTCCAACTTTAATGCCTTAAAGAATTAATTTTGTTCACCAAGTCAGTGAAACTGTCTATTAATATCCATTAGCTTCTATGACAGCATTAAGTAACGTAATACCTAAAAACGTCACGTAAAGATATTTGGACAGCAGGTTGTATCATCCCACTGATGTGCACCTTAGCCACTACACTGTAAATCTCTGATACACCTGTTGCACCATATTCTCCGTGTCATTATGGACGTTCAGTTACCTGCTGTGGGACCCAGCATCGGTCGTATCGCACTATAACGTCCATCCATTCGTGGCAGCCCTGCTCAGCCTTGGCCCTTTCTATCGGTTAGACTTTACACTCACCTGCCGTCGACAAAAAGACCGCTTTCATTTCTGTGAGCCTTTGCAACATATTTACAACGAATTAGATGAATTCCTAAACCGAAATACAGTGTTTCCCATAACTTTGTCAAGGACAGTTTGCCAGCTGGCCCAGTGCTACTTTCTGAGCACAGAGGTGTGTGATGAGGTGAATAATGCAGAACATTTATGGTCGACCCACCGAGGGCTAAAACATCTAGGAATACTGGACTTGTATTTCTCAGGTGGCCAGACAGAAGACCTGAGGGCGTTGACCCATTTCTGCTGGATGTGTGAGTAGCTTGTGGTTAACTTCATCCAATGTTTTTGTCCTGGAGCTCTTCTGACACCTAGTGCCCAAGAAACACTAAACAGGGGATGTCAGCATGAAAGCTATCAGTGCTTTGTCGTTATTCCGCTTTTTTAATATTTTTTCATTAGCCAATTATTTGTTAGTATTTGAAATTAACTCTGCACAAAATTCAGATGAAGAAGCTTTTGTAACATGCTGTTACAACATTTAAAATGTGTAGAAACACCTGTAAAAAAGCATATTGATATTATTGTGATTAATCACAACTGTTACAGTCTGCACTGGTGGTTTTCTGCACTTCTGCTACTATGTGTGTGGTTTTTAGTTCTGTTTTGTGTATATGATGGTGTACTGTACTGTAACATTTAAGATTCTGAGGCCTTTTGAGGAGGAAATGTACTGTTATTAAAAACCAGCAGTTGTGATCAAACGTGCAACTACTGGCACCACTTGGTGTCGCCCTCTTTTAACTAAGCAGCTTCGTGGTGTAGACCTGGTTCTGCAACAGCTGGTCAGAATTGGTGGGGTTTCCTTTTACAGGAAATTGCAGAGATAATCCCATGGTAATTTGTCTTATGACTGTCAGTGCTATGACTAACAATGGTCAGCTGATGTCAAATTCATATTATACTTTGTGAGTCTTGTAATAAATCAGCTTTGAGGTGATGGATTTCTAAAGGGACTGGGGACAGTGAGAGCAATGGGAAGACCTGAATTAGCTCTGATTTATGAGAGAGATATATATCCAGTGTGTGGACAGATAATGATCCTTGGATAATTGATCTTGGTCTCTTCATCACTTAACGCTACTGGCTAACTGATATATGGTCTCCATCACTGTCCTTGCCATTATTGCCCTCCTGATCTTTTTCTTCTACTTTCTCTGCTATTGCTGTCTTGTTCCTATTAGATCTTAGCTATTTCAGTTCTCATGACACGTCTCCCATCATCATAACCACAGTGTTTTATGATATAATCTCATGAAATCAATCTGCAGTTATTGGAAGAATAATATGCGCTCCAGGAGACTCATACAGTTTCTAAGTTAGCAGTGACCCACATTAGTATTTTTTGACAGGTATCTGTTACTATAACTCAAATGTCAGCATAGCCGCATTGAATGGCAGCCTTATGTAAAGTCAGACGTGCTAGCTCTCATGCAGCCAAACCTCACTGTACACAGTCCCAGATTCCCACACCGAGATGGAACCGGTGTCAGAGCCAAAACACACACACACACACACACATACACAGTTTATGTTTCGTGGTCCATGGGGACTTTACATTGACTTACATGCATTTCCTGTAGACTAACCCTAACCTTAACCAGAACCACTACTTGCCTAACCCTAACCCTGACCTTAACCTTAACCTAACCCTAACCTCATCCTAACCCTAAACCATGTTGCCACCCTAAAATTCAATTTCTTGCCCATGGGGACCTCAATTTAGGTCCCCACCGTGAAATGGGTCCTCATAAGTTGGTATGGAGTCAGGAAGAAGTCCCCACGTAGCAGGAAAAACACGTCCACACACACACACACACACAGTGTGTTTCACACCTGGGAGCTTTGACAACATCTCATTACTGTCATGCATAAAATCAAACTGTGAAGAGCCATGCTGCTGTAACAACAACAATTCAATGCAGACTAGGTAACATACAGCTTTTATCAAGCACTGCTCAATAGTAAATACTGAATACTGCTACACCATACTTCACACTCTGTTGCCTCTGAGGTACACTGATTACCCATTTAAAAGCCATCTTAATATTTCTAGATCATCTGTAAAACTATAGATGAAGTACTGATGACTTCAGTGCCTTATCCTGTCAAAGCAAATGCACATTTTAAGATAAGGAGTGAAAGGAATGTTTGCTGGGCTTAGTTGGCATGTCGATGGGATATTTTGCTTGTTGGATGATCAATAAATCAATGTCAGACATACAGTAGAGTTTGGCTTTGTAGATGAATATGTGGAGGGCAACAGGAGACCACAGCACCAATGTGTTACCTGTCAGTGCAGTTGTACAGTAGCTACAGTGTAGTGTTGGCAGAAAAGCCTCTTTCTTTTTTTTTTTTTTTTAAACCTATCACCAGGTTCTCCTGAGGCGTCATTCCTGTTTGGTTTTGACTGGAGCCATGCCAGCATTTTACAACGGTGATTAGCATGGGAATTTTCTGAGTGTGTGGGGAGGGTAGTCCCCTGCAGCCAGGTCCCAAAGTGCTGTGGAAAATTTTCCCATTAGAGTGGAGGCAGTGGATTGAACTGACACATTTCTGACATTGTCAGCAAAAACTCAACATTATAAACTATGTAAAGATAGAATCTATGTCAAAGCTGGTTTTATGCTAGAACAGCGGTTGAAATGTTTGCTAATGCTGGTGACGGTTTGGCAACAGTTATCCTGAATTAGCCTGAGTAGTGGAAGGGTTGTGTTGGTGCAGACAAAGAGGGGGTGGTTCTGGGGTGCTGGAACACTCCTCTTGTGTTGGCGATAATATAGTTACAGACTCACTGGAATTTGTAATAGTCTTCTTTTGTTAGACAGTCTTGGTAGAACAGTGTCAGTGTTTGGGCATTTGAGCAGACCCGGCTGTCAGAGGTGACTGCACCCCACCCCCTTAACTTTGCCCACACTCTGCCTCTTTCTCTTATTCTGTCTTCAAACAGTATCTTCCATCTTCCCTGTCTTCCTCTGTCTATTCAGAAGTCGAGGTTATAGTCTGAAATCACATTCATTATTGCATTTTTCATCTCTTCAAAGAAATCATTCAGTCCACTTCTGGTATACTGTGAGACCACTGTCCCACACTTAGTGGAGGAGGAGGATCATGTAAGACCAGTGATATCAGGTCAGGGGTTTTCCCCACAGTTGATCTGTAGATGTCTGAGCAAAGTACTTAAATAAACCATCGGCCTGTTTTTGTGTACGTGCATGAATCATCTTTTGAAAACCTAGACGGGGAAGTTAAGCTCACGCCTCCTTTACTTTCTGAGTCAGCCTCTCCATGTCTTTCTGTTGCACTCCTTTCTGATTCTGTTTTCCCTAATAAAAGAGTTCTCGGAAGGTTGTTGGCCCTGTCTGGCTTAATGGGCTTAAGATGGCAAACAAAGTGACAAATACCACATGTACTACATGCATTCCTTGCTCTCTTGTCTTTCCTGTGGCTTATTACTGTAATGTTGCATCCTGTGAGAGAAAGAAGGGAAATTTAGGGCCACATTTAAATATGTGAATATGTGGATGTGTATAAAGGTTTGGGTTTACATGTGTGTCAGGAGGGCCAGTGATTCCTTTTTCTACTTTTTCCATAAACAGTCACAGTGTAACAATGTAAGAGCAGTAGTGTTTGTGTACTATTCTTGACCAGTGTTTGACAAGAGGCCTCGAGGGTTCCTGGGTGGTCTAATTGTGTTTGGTGCATGTGACTGTTAGATGCGTGTATTAGTTTGTGCAGACTCACAGGAGTGAGTGAGTATCATCACACTGTCACATGCATGCTATTCCTGTATGCATGAGCAACATCGGGATATAAAGAAAATAAGGGGGGATTTGCTTCATTTTACCCATTATGTTCTGTTTTGCCACCTGCCTAGTAATTTTCTACAAGCCCACCCACTTCTTATATAAGTCAATGCACTTGACCCACATAGCAGTAATTGCTACAACTAGAACATAAACACTGATCTTGCCTTTTGTGATATAAACTCCCATTTGCTGAAACATAAACCCACTGCACTCCTCCCTGCACATAAGTCATCTATTGAGCTGCGCCTTGACTCAGCTGTAGTCCAGGACACCTAAATTAACCTGCTCTCACACAAACATTAGTAGTACCAACATTCTGTCTCTGTTCAGGTATCTGCTGCCTTTTATATGGGCCTTGAATAGTTCCCAGGGTGTGTTTTTAATTTGGTATGTGAGTGTGTGTTTGTATGTGTACGTGTGTGCTTTTACGGGGTTCTGGTGCAGGCCAGGCATTTTGTAAGGGGGCAGATAGTGGCCTTTTACTGCCCCAGGGGATAACAAGCAGAGAGGGGGAGGTAGTTATTTACCCCTTTTATTAGGGTAGGAGGTGGAGGAGGGGACCGTATTGGGGTCATACTGTTACTCCACACAGCTGCAGGGCAAGAAGAAAAATAAAAAGAAGAGAGTTTATTTAAAAAAAAGAAATCTGAGTCACTAAAATCCTCTCTCAGGAATTTCTCCATTTAGTTTTTACTTGTGTAGCTGTATGTGTGTGTGTGTGTGTGTCTGAACCTTGGGTCATTCATCTTTCTCCCCAGCCTCTTTTTCATTCTCAGGTCTCTTAACAGCCCACTCCTTGTTAAGCACATCTGCTGTCAATCACATGTACCCTGTAATTCAGTTGGCATTTCCTGCTGTTGGAGATACGTCCATTGACCTTCAGTCTTTGACCATGTGATGATTGGTCAGGATGCTCCGTGTTCCATCCGAAAAGGTCCAGAGATTACCTCTGTTTGCCACATCACCTTCCTTGGTTGCTGTAACAGCATATGCTCCGTAAATGTGGATTTTAAAGGAATAGGTCAACATTTTGGGAAATATGCTCATTTGCAGACATGAGTGTATTAGTCATCATTGTTTTGACTAGCTTCATAGAGATGTATAATGATGTGCAGCTGCCAACGGGGACCCAGACTAAATCTCCCAGCCATGGGACATCTGTCTATCTTTCTATATATCTATCTATCTGTTTGTCTGTCCATCATCCCTTCCTTTCTTCCTTGTCAAGAAAGCAAATAAGCATGCTTCCCATCATGTCAAACTATTTCTTTAAAGAGTTACCAGAAAAATAAGTGTAACCAATTGGCAAGTGAAGTGGAAATAACACAGAGCAGAGTATAATAGTGATTTTCCTGCAGCTGGCTTTGTGTGTGTGTGTGTGTGTGTGTGTGTGTGTGTGAGAGAGAGAGAGACTTCACATGCCAGGGAAAATTGCATGATGAGCAGATCCTGACCAAATGTGTAATAAAAATGAGCACACAGAAGAAGAAAAGTGAAATGGAAACATTTGCTGCCTTGAAGCATAGTGAGAGAAAAATAAAAAGGGCATGTGGCACAGAAATGATTCACAGAGAGGGAAAGCAGGGAAGACAGAAAAACTGAGGAGACAGCAAGCGAGGGGACAGGCCAGTTATTCTAGTTGCAGACAGCTGTCAGAAAGCCTAAAATAAAATAGAGCCATCTAATGTGCACATATTCTGCCGTTATACTCACAAACCATAAAACATATGCACTGTTAAATGTGTTTCAACAGAGCAATGAGTAGAGTTTAAATCATGCTTTATTGTTTTCCCATAAAAAGTGTTGTGTCCTATCATCACATTTAAAGAAACAAAGTAAAAACCTTAGCAGTACTGTATCTGACTCTAGTGTAGCAATAAATATAAAATATTGTCATAAGGTAGAAAAGGTTGCAAGGCAGGGCTGAAAGAACAGACACCTCAAAGCTGACCTGAAGCTGGAAGAGCTCATAGGTTGGTTTACACATCTACAAATATAGTCTCACGCCTCTGCTGCCGCATACACTCGCACATACATACTGTACATACATGCAGACTCACACAAGACCAATTACATGAGCTGTCACTAAGCAAAAAAAAAACATGCAGCATAACATACATTTTCATGTTTACAGCCGAGCTAGTCATGTTTGATGGAGCGACAGACAGATAACCGAGAAGCTAAGAGCCCTGTGTAGACATGTGACGTGCTACATAGAGTTACCACACTTATAACAGAGATACTGAAATAAAACTAGACGGCGATCTCCCAGCCATCACTGGGTTTGGGGGAGTAGTGACACAAGTGGTGATGCAGGAGATCTGGGCTATAAGGACGGGAAGTAGGAAGTGCTCTTGTTCATTGTCGTTCATAGACTCTGGTGCAAATCACATCATCTGCTCTCATGGTCTGTAAAGAGAGATGACAGTGCGGGTGTTTAATGTGGATGCTCTAACTTCACTTGCCGCAGTTCAGTGTGAATTCATATTCAAAGTTAAATATTTCATAGAACAAGTTGATTCTTTAAGCCTCAAAATGTTTTAATGTTTCCAGCAGGTAACATCTCTGATTGGACTGGTTTACTGGTAGACAATGGTCATTACTGGGTAACAAAACAGGAAGTGTTAAAAATATGATATAGTTTGGAATATTTAATTTTAAACATATGAGATACAAAAAATGCCAGAGTGCACTTACAAAAAAATGAGCCTTTATGGTGTGGTTATTAAATTACAGGGAACATCATTACTCAGTATGTGAAATAGGCTGGAAAGCTCCTCTGTGGATTTTCTTTAGTGCTGCTGTGAAGATGTACACTTCATAGTCAAGAATGAACTTTAAGCTTTTTGCTCTGGAGGAGTCAGATTACTTCAAGACGTATCAAAAAAAACTTTTAGGTCCTGAATCATTAACGTCAGTGGCAAATTGATTTGTGAAAAACTGTACAGACATGATTAAGTATTTTCATTCATACTTGCACAGTTGCACCGTAATCTGTGGTCTGCACACTATGCTTAAGCTTTAACTTTGTTGGTTTGAGTACTTTACTAGGATCAGTTTTCCATCGTTGGTGATCTCTCGGGTCCAGGATGTCTTTGGTCCCTCTCCTTTCTGCAGAGTCTGTTCACAGCTGATCTTACTGTCTGTTTCCCAACGTGGAAAACTCTGAGGATAGGGAAGGTGGAAAACCATTAAAAACATCTGATCTGATGAATCCACAGATGATGTCATTCAGAATAAACTGCATGAGGAAGTGGCTGATAGAGACAGAGAGAAAATAAGTAAGTGGAGCAGGGCGTTCACTGAGAGGTGATAACTTGTGATGTGCTCAGTGTTAATAGAGCGAAGCTCTGGCTGGTTGCGTATGTTTCCTTTGGACATGGCCAAACAGAGGTCGTCTGTGGGAAAAATGGGAAAGCAACAGGGAGAATCAGGGAGGGACAGAGGGCAGGATACATCAAGAAGGGGAAATGGAGGAAAGATGGGAAGTTGAAAAAGGTGTGAAAGAGCACAGCATAGCATGAGAGGCCTTCAGAGACCGAGGGAGGGATAAAGATATGCTATCAATCTAAATATGAAGAAAAGCCAAATTAAACTGATTGATGTAATCTGGATGACTCCCTCCTCATACACACATTACTGCTGTGTGTGTGTGTGCATGTGCGTGCAGAAAAACTAGACGTGAAAGGATTTGTAGGAACGTATTTGTTTCTGTGTGCTGTGTACCGTGCAGGGACGACTGTCCACTGTGGTCTCGTTGAACTCTTGCCCCACAGTAAAGGTGATATGAGTGGTACGGACTGTGGTTGAGGTTTTAATGGACAGCGTCTCTCCATCCTGCGTGATCTCCACCAGCGGCTTGGAGGCTGCCTTCACTGCAATCATACGCAGCATCACATTCACACCTAAAAACACACACACACACACACACACACACACACGTCAAAAGTACTGCAGAAAAAGTTTGCATAAGAAGAGATTTGTGGTTTATATAAAAGACAGCACACACACAAGTAAACACTTGCACACACGTGTGTGTATTGTGTGTTTTAGCGGTGTGGTGCTGTTGCTTGTTCATTATTCTCCTGCAAACTCAGAGTAAAAGGAGCAGCGTTACACACAGTTCTGTCCAATAATGACAGAGGAAACACTGAAGTCACATGACAAAGCATGGCCAGCACACACACACACACACACACACACACACACACACACACACACTCAGACTCAAACACATCGACTAATATAGTGATTATTACTTTTTGCAAAACAAGTACTAATCTCATCTTCCTGCAGATACAAATGCATTTTCAATATGGTGTAGTCTTTAACTTTCTGCAAACACCAAGAGAGACACATATTCATACCGTGTGTTAGTTAGTAGTAGCCTGACAAGAGACATAAACACACACACAATGTGCACATATAGAAAAGAGGGATAGCAGGAGAGACAAAAAGGAAAGTTGTTAAAATGTATTATATACGTATCTGTTACACAGCACAGCATCTCGCAGGCAGGAGGCAGTGAGGGGGAGCGCAGGGAACACTGATTAATCAGCTTTTTATTTGCAGAATTTACCCATGTTTATAACTTGTTAGTTCAGATTAATGTGACATGCTGCATTTAAACATGGGGTCTATTATCAGAAAAATCAAAACTGGATTTTTGGAAATGTATAAATGCTGCTTTTTTATTGCCAGTTATAAATCTGTAAAAATAAGGATTCTGAGAGAAACTAAAGGGAAAGACTAGTCAGATACTGTTTATTTGAGAAAGTGAAAGAACAAATGGGAAAAGAGGGGCAGCGAGAAGCTGGGTGGGGGTCAGACAGATGAGGGACCGTGGTGTGTGTGGTGTGTGTGAGGATCTCTGTGCAAGTGTGAGAGGAAGTGTGTGTGTAAATAGTCTAGTGTGTATTTGCCGTCGAGTTGGATTTCACACTTGTCACCTCTTGCTCATTCCCACCTGTCACCAAGGGTAAATATATACACACTCAGAAATGCATAGTCATTCAGCATGTATCAGGATGCCCAGGCCACTCACTGTGCGCTGTACGTACACAGCATGGTATGTTTGTTCATTCTCGTAGTCTGTGTGTTCATGCAAACTGCATTCTATACAACTTGTTGTAAGAACATCACTGTGCAGGAAACATTTATCCCAGTGCTTTTTTTCCTTTAATGGTATTTGGTATTGGTTTCACTGGTGCACAATGAGGGGGTGAAAGCAACTTAATATGTTTGCTCAAGTTCTGTACTAAAGTGCATTTGTGTTTATGCTATTTTTATTTATAGTGGTAGGCCACCACATTTCTAAGGAAAATGTTGGTTAACTGACTGTTGTTGTATCAAGCAAAAATGTCAAACTGTTGCAAAACAGGCAATTTCAACATGAGACCTTTGGCTATGGGAAACTGAAGTGGGCATTTTGTGACACTGGGCTAAATTATTATCAGATTATCAGAAAATTAGTTGATAATGGAAATTATCATTAGGTGAATCCCTAAAGGTGGATAAAACATGGCTCCCAGTTGGTAGTTGTTGACAAACAACAAGAACATCCTATCAACATTAGCAACTAATTATGGACTTAATCTTAATAAACCATATTCTGATTTAAATAATCCGTTACCATGATATATGGGACTAACACAAACAATGTCAAATTTAAAAGGTGGGTAAACTGAAAACCTTAGATTTAAAATATACCTCTGCCTGAGGAAACTGTGGATCTGCATCTTTTCAGTCTCTTGGCTCTGACACAGCAGTCAGGTGTTGGCCTGTGGACCATTTGGAACCTAATGAGGGGGCTAAAGCTTCTTAAGTAACTGCCAGTTGTTGAAGGTGAGACATCGCCTGAATAGAATTTGCAAATCTGTGACCAAAATGCTTACATTCCCACAGACCTGGCCAGATGAGGGCACACACACTCATGCAGATAGACAGTCAGAGGTCAAAAAGCAGAGGGCAAAGGAAGCAGGAGGATGAGGGAAGGGAGGGGTGAGAAGGAACGAGGACAGGAGGAGAGGCTGGAGGGAAGGAGGAGGGAGGTGGGTGCTGACAGACTGTTTTTTTTTTTTTTTGGTTTTTTTTGGTGCTGACAGGCTGTGTCCAGCTGTGCTCTGCCCCTCGGTGAAATCAGGGGCATTCCTCTCTGTTAGTCATGCAAATGCGGAGAGACATTAAACACATGAAGTGATGTGCATGTGAGCGTGCGTGCGTGTGCGAGGGCTGGCTCAGGTACAACAGGGTCACTCAGTGCAGTTTAACTTGTCTTCCTCTTGCAGTTCCTCTTCCAGGAATACTTGTCTTGCGCCTTTCTTTTTGGCACTCTCACACACTTGACAGGCAGACAAGTAAATGCCAGCATGCACGGATATTGCACAAACCTCCTTGTCCTTTCTTTGGTGCCATCTCATCTGATCATATCGTCATTTTTCCTTTGTTCCCCACCGCACTCTCCGAGTCTCTCTCTCTTTCTCACACACATGTCACCAAGTGACAGAGAGATGGAGATAAATAGAGTTTGACAGACATTAAACGCTAATTGGCGTGTCAGTCTAACAGTCTTACGCCTTAATGGTGACGTTTATATTCAGAACAATAATTTGACAGCTATTTCAATTACCTCTAAATGCTCGGTGTGTGTGTGAGAATGAGACAGAGAGAGATAAAGGCAGCATTGTTTGGTGCAGTCATATCTGTTCCTGTGCGCTTACGTGATATAAATTCCAGGTGTGCACTGGCAAGTCGTCTAATGGGAACTGGCCACCAACGAGAGACTGCTCTGTCTCTGTGCGCGCACACGCAGAGACCCTGAGCCTGTCCAGACTACTGCGCCAGTGATGCCATGCATGCGCAGGTCACACACAGTGTGAATCTCAGCGGCAGGTGTTTGTCCTTAGTCCCGCAACTGTAGCTTTTCATGACGGTTCTTTTCAACACACACGCACGCACACAGTGAGGCGGTGAAATAGACAAATGTGCCGCCGTTTGTCTCTATTGTTTATAGCGGGGGTGGCCAAACGGCGAAGAGAGAGAAAGAGAGAGAGGGGTGAGGCTGCCCGGGGGCCAAGCACTGTGTTTTTGGTTGTGCAGAATGACAAAGACCCCCAACTCATGCGGTACAGAGAGTGAGCGCAGGGATCGGACCTACAATACGCTGAGAGAGCTACAGTTTGAGTTGACATGTCTGATCTGAGTCATCACCCACAGGAATAAAAGCTTCATGAGAAATCACTCGCGGAAAAAAATAGTCAAGCTGCCACATTTTTTAAATCATCATTTCCATCTCTTACCTAATGCTTTCAAGAGTTCCTCGAAGTTTTCAGAACTCTTCATTTCCCAGGTGCCCGAGAAATCAGGGATTTTACGCTCCATGTTCATCTTCAGGTAGTGTGCGGATTAATGTAAGTGAACTGTCAGGTCCGAGTTTGGCTGGCGCGCTTCTGTCCGTGCGTCAAGAGTGTTCCAGTTGCCTCTTGTCGGAGTGTGCGGGCTCGCAGGCTAGTTTGGCTCTGCCTGCCCAGTTGTTTCTGTCCTCTTCCAAGGATGAGTGGCCAGCTGCCAGAGGTCGAATCTCATCTATGTGCCGGTGCACGTCAGAAGCGGCAGCACGACAAATGAATGACACAGAAAACACAGATACTTGTGTAGAGGTGCATACACCCCTTTCTACCCGGCCACACCCCGCCACAGATTTCAGGCAAATGTCCACAATGCCTGAGTTTGACCACGCCTCTGTAAGCACCATGTGCACTTCGGAGCTGTCCAGCCAGCATTTGGAGACGCATCTCATCCCAGTATCTTCCATCAATCAAAGTGACCGCACCCTCATGGTCCTGTGCGCTCTGGAGAAGCCTGTTCAGGCCTGATATAATATTGTATAAAATATTTAGGTGATTTACCATTATGATAGAGCCAGTAATGGCTTGGCTGAATGACTGACTCCAGTGGGGTGAACCTTAGTTCATGAAAGGGAGGATGTATCCAGGCCAGTCTGTTGACAGAACATGTTGTCTTGGCAGGGTGGTGCGAAGGAAGAACCAGTCAACTGCCAGACTGAATGGAAAGCATATCGGTTGTGTGTATGTGTGAGGAGGTAGTAGTGAAGACAGGGAGAGACAGTGAGGCCAAGTTCAACCCCAGTCTCCTGTGCCCTACGGCACCGCGTCATAAAAATAAAGGCGGTAGTAATGGGATACAGCTTTTGGCCTAGACCAGTGGGCTGTTCGTTTAACGGGTCCTGCGTCAGAGGCAAAAAGTCCCCGTACCCAGGAGGGAAGCAGACAGAAAGAAGGAGATTAAAATAAGAGGTGAGACTGGCGCAGGACGGCGGCGTCTCCTCAGAGCCCCCCGCTGCTGGGACGGAAGAAAGGGGAGAAAGGAGGAGGAGACACGGGGGCACTTGGAGCAGCGCCTCAGACGGGGGCAGGGTCAGGGGCCCTTGGGGTCGGAGGTAGTCCTATAAAGAACACGCGCGCGCACACACTGTATGTATTTGCACATACACGCATGCGCTGATGATGGATGGCAACGGGACAAAGCCGACGTTAACTATTGACTCTTGATGGATGATCCCATCCGCTACACTGCACGAAGAATTAGCGCAAGGTTACCCTGGTGACTTGGTGGAACAGGGGGTGCATCAGGAAAGGGTCTCCAAGCCAACACACGCACACACACAAATACACTATATAACAAAGACACTTTGACTAGCAAAGGTGAATAACAGATTGATATTTGGTAACGAGATATGCGCTTTTACGAACAGGCCTGCATCCAATTGCAGCGCCTTGCATCGGGCCAGCGGGTGTGTTTGATGTGAACAAAGATAGCACACATTGTTTCCTTCTTCAGGACCCCCCCCTCACACACACACACACACACACACACACACATACACACGCACTCTTTGGCCACACACCATGCCACAATCACAGCGTGTTCTCACAGGTTCTTCCTGGTCCATACTGAGGTGAACAATTAAAGTGCCATATCAGAGCTGGAATTTCTACTTCAGTCTTCCATCCTCTCTTGCTCATCATTAACTCTTTCAAGGTTTCACCTAGTAATATTGAAACAAAACAATCAGTCAGATTAAAGTAGAAAGTGTCATTTACAGGTGAGAGGGGTTCAGATACAATACATGAATCTAGTGTATATAACCTATTAATGTACAACATTAGTCTGACTTACTGCTGCTGTGGTGGTCTCTTCAACATGGGCTGCTAATAAGAAGGGACTTGATTATGCCCCTAGTTTGAAAGTGACTGATGCAAACACAAAGGTTACTATAGAGAGCTGTCTAGTGCTGGGAAAATTAATCTTCAACCTCACCACAGGCCCTCAGCATATTACCATTACATAACAAGAAATGCATCAAAGGCCACTGAATCAAATGGGCAGCTGCACACTGACAGCATTGCCCATCTTGTGTGCGTTGTGTGTGTCAGAGGGGGACCTTGATAAAGAAGTCTAAAATGTGTGTAATGCTGCATGTCGGCATGTGATGACAAAACACCACTCGGCTTTCAGACCCACCCGACCGTGCTGTGCTCTCTCAACCTTTCTCTCTCTGCTCATTCCATATGTCCATTTCCCCTTTTCCTTTCTGCTTCTCCTTTACCACATGCAACTTTCTCCCTCCTCCCCCCACACTCTCCTCCTTTTCTCCCTCCTCCTCCTCCTCTCATGAAGCTTTTTTTCCTTTGTGCTGCTTCAACACATTCCTCAAGCATGTTGAAGAGAGGGAGAAGGGGAAAACAGAAGGGGAGCGGATTGAAAGGAGAGGAAAATCGGGGTAAAGTTAGAAAGAAAGTTAGAGACTGCAGTTCAGGTCTTTTTTTTTTAAATCTCATTGTTGTGGAGTAAAGGATAGTGTGAGTGCGTCCGCAACGAGAGCCAGGAGATCAAAGACAGACAGAGGTTGAGAAATAGTGAAAGAATGAAGGTGACAGATGTGTAAAGAGAGACTAAGGAAGAAGTATTAGTTTGCTCCTCTGTTGCCAACTTTACTTCACTCATCTTCATTTCAGCAATTCATGTTCACTTCTTTTGTGCTGTCATCTTCATCTTTCTGTGGTCTCTCTCATCCCTTGTTGGTAACTGATACGACCAAGTGCCAACTCAAAGCTTTACAGGCCGTATGATATTCAAGCAAAACCAAGTGTATTGTGGCTTGTTTAAAGTAACATTCGAATTTTAGTCATTCTGCCTTTATAGCAAAAACGCACCTGACACTAGAGAGAATATGAGAAGGGCTTTCTCCTTGTGGAAGTCCTGTTACTTACAATAATATTTCATACTGCTGAAATCATTAGTTGAGTAATCGATTTAAAGAAAATCAATCCCCAACTAGTTCCATAATCATGCTGTTTTGGCCTATCCAATGTGAGGTTTTGCTGTGTTTTACCCGGTACTTTTTACCATACTGACTCTGAGAGACGAGACAGTCCAAGTAACTTCAAAACAGTGCTGATTTATTCCATGAACACAGGTAAAATTAACATTACACGCTCAGATATCTTGCACCTCCACACTGCAAGCGGGCAGATGTAAGATGAAAGACCCTGAACCCACCAGGCCTATACATTATATCCCCTCGGTTGGGCTAGCCCCATACTACACAGAAACGTCAACCGAGACGTCTCTGTTACCAGCTCTGCAGCTGGTCATAGCAGTAGTCAAAACATGAAGCAAATCAATGTGTGTGTGTCTGTTGGTTAAGTGGTGTGTAGCTAAAAACATTCTCACGACCTCTAGTAACATGTCGTGACTTAAACATAAGAACATATTATGGCTAAGGCTACAGTTATACACGTCATAATAATAATATTAAACACCCTGTCTGCTGACAGTCATCAACTCTTCTCTCTAGTTATCCTTGACCAGATGTACCCTGTAGAAACTCATAAGCATGTCCAAGCATTTAACAGTCTAACTAGACATCCTCTCTCCACTAAACATTTCTAATACATAAAGTATCTATCCAATATCTATCTGACTAAAGATACCTAACAGCTGTGTCTCCATTATTTTACCAACAGAAACTGAAAATCTTTGAGGTTTGGACTGTTGCTCAGACAAAACAAGGAATATGGAGAAATGATGTTGGACTCTGGAGAGAATAATCAACCTATTTATCCATCCATAATATTTACTGCTTATCCTGCAGAGGATTGTAGGGGGTGGGTGGAGCCAATCCCAGTTGACATGTTGCCAGTCTATAACAGGGCAACACATAGACACAGACAACCCTTCACATCTACAGGCAATTTAGAGCCGCCAGTCAACCTGACCTGCATGTCTTTGGACTGTGGGACCAAAGAACCTGGAGAAAACTCACTCATGCACAGGGAGAGCATGCAAACTCCACACAAGAGGCTCCAGTCAGCAGAATGACAGTGCTGACCACTGCACACTGGGCCGCCACATCAACAGGTTTATCAAAGACCAAAATCAATACATGTAGCCCTAACTTGTCTGAATCCATGTATTCAATGTGTTTCCTGTCCTTTGGGTGTAATTTAAATACAGAAATTGATCTTTTTCAAAAAGTCTGAAATTCGAGCCTGAGATCCAATTGAATGACTTACAGCAGAGAGGCCATGATGAGCAGTTTTTCTGTATTTCTCTGTCTGTCTTTGGGTTTGTTTGGCCTCTGTGACATTCAAATCATACTAAGCCTCATATCAACACTGTCACTGTGGTGAACTGTACCATATCTCCACCCTCACTTCCTCTTGTGTGGCATATTGTTTCCTATTTCCTCTTCTTATTTGCATGACACAGATTTCAACCCTATCTGTGGAACGTCCAGAATATTTATTGTTCCATTATCTGACTGTGGGAAACTACATGCACCACATTACATTTCATGCATCATTTGCAGTATGCTTATTAAAGTGGTGTCTTATTACAGTTGTGACTATCACATTAATGTTGCAGTCATTGTTTCTTGAAAAGCCGCAACAACAAGTTGGAGCTTGTACATGTGAATGTGTGTGATCCGCCTGTAGTGTCACACTTAAGTGGCATGCTCCACTTTATCATCCAGACGACCTCCAGTAAAAACCGTTGACCCCAGCACCCCTGGTAATCCCAGATGTGAACTTAACCCTGGCCTTCCCCTGCCGCCAGCTCCTGGAAGTCATTATCAGTGGCCTCTACCTTAACAGGAAGCAACTGGGCGAGAAGTGCACATGCACAAAAGTGCTTCAAATGACTAGTTTTCTCTAATGATTTAACCCTGTATCAGTGAATCTAAAGGGTGGAGGGAAGATTAACTGGACAGGAAAGGAGGAAAACCTTTCTGTGACACAAAACGGTGTCCTGTTCTCTAATCTTTGCTCTTTTCTTGTGCAGTACTGGAGAGTTCATCCTCATTCAGAGAAGCAAAAACCAGTTTTTAGTTTAAGGGGTCATGAGCCAAAACATTTGTGACATGCTTCTCTGTGTGACTTGCACAACAGTTACACAACACAGCCAGGTTGACACACACACACATTTAGCCAAAAAGTGTGTGTGTGGCCCTGTGGGCTGCTGGCATGCTGGCTCACCAAACCCTGTGGGTTTGATTAATGCAGGAGATATGCAGCATTTAACCACATAGGTGGAAATGAGAGACAGAAAATCTGTGGCACCA